CCACGTCATAACACCTGAAGGCATAAAACCAAATCCTTCAAAAATTTCAGCCATTGAAAACTTTCCTATACCCAAGACGGTGAAAGAAATCAAAAGCTTTCTTGGTCTGGTAGGATACTACCGACGTTTCATTCCGAACTTTTCCAAAATCACATACCTCATGACACGCTGCACTAGAAAAGGTACTAAAATCGATATCGAAGATCCCAGATATATTGAATCTTTCGAGAAATGTAAATCCGCTCTCAGTAACTCCTATATTCTCCAATACCCTGATTTTTCCCTACCATTTACCCTCACTACAGACGCTTCAAACATAGCGATCGGTTCTGTCCTTACACAGAAAGGAAATCCGATAGCCTATTATTCTCGCACCCTAAATTCAGCAGAGAAAAATTATTCTACAATCGAAAAAGAACTTCTTGCCATACTCGATTCCTGCAAAGTATTCCGCCCCTATGTATATGGTGTAAAATTTACTGTGGAAACAGATCACAACCCCTTAGTCTGGTTATACAAAATTAAGGAACCCAATTCTCGTCTTGTCCGATGGAAACTCAAACTTGAGGAGTACAATTTCGAAATTAAATACAAGAAAGGAAAGGAAAACGTCGTCGCCGATGCTTTAAGTCGCATCGAAATAAATATGCACGAATCCGAGTCTCTGTGTGCCAACCCTCCAGATGATGATGACGACTTTGATGTAGATGACTTCGTTAACCAATCTTTCGAAAAAGAAACTGGTCAATCAACCCAACATTCTTCTCATGAAAATCCCGTTGCTCTCGTCCCATTCTCAGAAGAACCTATTAATCATTTTTCAAATCAGATCATAATAAATCTAGGCACCGATTTTAACACCAAATACCGTCTGAAGTTCAAGTCCAAACACGAATATCTCATCACTCTTTCCGAAAAAGACTGGAAAACCGACATCAAGACTGCTCTCCATCAAACTATAGCCCCCAATCAACGATACTACATTCTGACTGACAATCCCGATATCCAAAAATATATTTCCGACTTCGTCCGTAATACTTATAGCCAAAACATCCAAATATTCTTCTGCACCAAACGAGTTCAAGATGTAGAGAGACCCGAAGACCAATTACGACATCTCCAAAATTACCATAAGGAAAATCACAATGGTATTCTCGAAACACTTAGTCATTTAAAATTACACTATTACTGGCCTAATATGCGTTCTACAATTTCAGAGCATATTAACCACTGCGATATTTGTCTTCGTAATAAATACGAGAGACACCCATATAAATTACCCCTAAAAGGTCCACTTCTAGGACAAAAGCCTTTCGACATCCTTCATATTGACACATTTTCCTGTAATCGAGAAACTTTCCTCACAATCATCGACTCTTTTTCCAAGTATGCCCAAGTGTACAGTATACCTGACAAAATGAATACCACAATCCTTAGCAAATTACGTCACTATTTCTCCCACCATAATTATCCTCGAAAAATAGTCTGCGACGAAGGTACCGAATTTTCAAATAACCTCTTCAAAGAATTTTTAAATCTTCACAAAATCGAGCTACACTTTACGACAGTGAACAACCCGAATTCCAATAGTCCTATCGAAAGATTTCACTCTACTTTTACAGAAAAGCTCCGTGTTATGCACGACGAACGCCCCAAAGAATATTTTACTGATCTCGTTACACATTGTGTTTTAATTTACAATCAGTCCATCCATTCCGCCACAGGTTATTCACCTTTTTCTATCTTATATGGCCCATATGCAGAAGAAATACTTTTTGACAATGACTTACCTATCTACGAAAAATATAACCAACGACATAAAGACGAACTTCGACCTTTCATTGACTCTCTTTATCGAAAACTCCACGATAAAGAAACAGCAATTTTAAATAAACGCAATGAAAGACTACCCGAGATCACTCCTGCTCCAGCACCTGGCCAAACCATATATATTCAGAAAAATCCCCGAAATAAATTATCTGCACCTTACGTATCAGCCGAAACTACTTCTACTATAGTAGCAATACCAAAATTCAGGCCGTTACTTCCAAAAATAGACCCACCAATACCCATCCTAGAAAAATCAAACGTCTAAGGAAAATACCCTTGTTACAGGATCGTCATCCTGACGAACCACAACCTGGCCCTTCAAGTGCACCTGATCCCGAATAATGGATACTATCGTGAACTGATAGGCCATGCTCAAGAGTTAAATCACTATCACCGACATATTATTACTGTTAACCTAACTGCTATCGACGCAACGCTTAAAATGACTCTAACTAACTTCCTATTCCTTAACAAGACTCTCACTACTTCCAACTACCGAATATTTGAACAATATAACCATCTCTATTCCGAGACACTTGACAATTTTCATAAAATAATCCGACCCCGTCAAAGGCGAGGAATTGCTAACTTTTTGGGAACTTTTATTAAATCAGTGACTGGCAACCTTGACGAAAACGATCGTATATTTTTGGAAAGGCACATCTTCAGTATCGAAAATAAACAAAATCGTATAATCAATGTGCTTAATAATTCGACAAGTTATGCATCAGAAACAATAAAAAGATATAATATTCTGATTGAAACCATAAATAATAATACAGTGAGAATCACACAAGATATTAATTTTCTTAGAGATGAATTCCAGCAGTTTATTACTCTTCAAAGCGAAATTCGTAATATTGATCGTTTGAATCAATTCATTTTAAAGCTTATTAGAAGTATAAACCTATCTGCACTAGAACAACCGAACATAGAATTATTTTCACTTTCCGAAATCACTGACTTAGAAGAAAAGCTAAAATCTTTATATAAATCAAATTCTCTTTTATCAGATAATTCACATCCCTTTGAACTTATCGAAAATTCACGTTGTTCATTAATTACCACAAATACTCAGTTACTCATCCTTTTCAAAATCCCGATCCTTAATGATCACTCTTTCCGACTTTACCATATTTATCCCATACATAATGAAGAAAACATTGTACTACTGCCTCCTGCAACTTTCTATGGAGATAATCGCTGGTATTCTACATGCACCGATGTAGGACCAAAAATCGTATGTCAACCCGCTTCCACCACAAGATGTCAGCTTCCCAGCTTAGAAAATTGTACCACTGCCAAGCTTTCCCAGCCTGTCATCCACCAAACAAAGAAAAACCTGATCTTCAGTACAAATGAGCCAATCCAAATCGTTGAAAGATGTTCCCAGACTCACCGAAATATTAGTCAAGCAGCAATTGTTTATTCTTCATGCCCAATCGAAATTAATGGACAGATTTACAGCACTACTTCAGAGCAAATCGAAGTTCCTGATATCATCCCTATAAAGATCCGCCCAAAGTTTAACTTACAGATCAACGAGTTGCAGCCACTCAAAGATGTACCACAGCTATCGGCCATACAGCCCTTACATCTAAGCCCTACAGTGACGTCTACAACAACTTGGTCCATGGCAACCCTAATGCTCATCATCGTCACAGCGAGCATTTACTTCGTCTTAAGAAAAAGAAGAAGACTCCAGACGCTTTTCTTCAAGCCGAAAATTTCCATTGCCGACTTGGAAAACCTAAAACTTCAAAAGTCCGAGGACGGACTTTCAGCTTAGCGAGGGAGGCGTTATAGGTCAAGAACCCGAGGCGTCAGCAAGACGACACCGCCAGTCGCAACGACAGCAGAAACCTTTATTAAAACTATTTTTCTTTTTATATTTTAATTCATTAACATTCCAACTTGTAACACGTTCATGTCTACAAAATAAATATTTTTTAAAAACTCCTTGTTGTGGCTGAGAAACATAATTCGCGTAATGGGATGAATAACTTTCGCAACACTCATGTTTGGTCAGTAGAAAATCCACACGCTGTCCGTCGGGCACATTTTCAACAAACGTTTTCGGTGAATGTTTGGGCTGGCATGGTGAATGGTATGCTCATTGGACCATTTATTCTCCCAAATCGATTGGACGGGATGCAATACCTAGACTTTTTACGCAACATTTTGCCTTCCTTGTTTGCCTGCGTCTGCTCGGTAGCGCATCAGCTGATTTCATTTTCTGTTGGAGCGGTATGATTTCGGGCAGAGACGTACTTAGCCCTTCTCGTCAACTGGAGAGTGAGTACTTTTTCCTTTATTTTTTTTTACTTGGGCGCCCTTGTTTCACTACACATTACCTTTGTTATTTCAAGGGTAGTTGTTTCTGAAAAGGAAAACCCCAACTTTGCGGACACCCTGTATTTTCACAAATGCATTGCAAGCAGTCTAGGGTGGTCATTCTATAAAAATTGTCAGTTTGATGATCTTCGTAACCAGCCAAACCAAGTCATTCTAAAATGCTACCAAATATTATTAATTCGAGTACCTTTATAAATCTCTTTATGAAATATTTCAAAATATATCAGTTTGATGAGACCTTCAACAAAATTAAACGATATGAGTCATCTAGTGTTCACAGTGTTTGATAACATTTTAGAATGCTCTTGTCTATTTATCAACAAGAATAAACTGCAAAAATCCTGTTTTCACTGTCTATTCGTCCATTTATCACTAATGATCGATGTTTAAAACGTAATGTAGACAATAACGAGGAATTTGCAGCTAGGAAGTCATTTAAAACAGATTTGTAGTTTCTTTCTTTTGTTTCGCTTTGATTTGAATTTGAAATAACGACCACGAAATGGTAGATACGAGGGCCATTTTTGAAGAAACGATTGCACATCATGCCCGCGCATCCTGTCACGTGATGTCCTTTCGACACTCTTGGCCAATCTTTCACAGGGATGCCATATTGGGGGACTTTCCCCCAAATTTGGATCTTTACTTTAGGGGATAAAACGTCCTGAGGTATTTTTTGGGGAATAAATAAAATCGTTGGGTATTTTGAGGTGTTCAATTCCATTTCACACGCACGTGTTTGGGGAGAAAGGGCTTGACGACTACTCTGTGTGACCCCCCTTAATGAAGTGTAACTTGAGTTTTATCGGACAATGTTATTTAACTTTTCTACTTCTTTTGAAACCTCTTGGATCCTCTTGAAATGTGAAAAAAATTTGAGATAATACCGCTGTCAATGTGTAAGGCGACTCGCAGTATCCAGCTTGGTTGCCAGATTGTGGAAAACAAGCAAAGGATGGATCACTTGCCTTAGGGAAATCAGTCTCTGGTGAATCTTGCTCTAACTTTAGGAATAAGCTCTCCAGAGCATCATGTTCAAAAGTTCTCCTGGGTACTTAGTAATTTTATGAAGCGTTTCCATGATATACAGGGTGTCACAAACGCGCAATTTTGAAGTACACAAGGTTTCTAGATGGAAAATTTATATGACAGCACCTGTCAGCAGTTTTTTTAAGTTTACCAGCGACAACACTTAACAGCTGTTGTCACCAAACATTACAATTCCTTTGATAACAAGTAATTATGGTCTCCTAGGACACCAGAAAATGACAATGATAGTGTGACTTGTTAGCTGTGTGTATGCAGAATAATCTGTTACTCATGAAATACCTGAGTCTTGTCAAATACCATTTGGGCATCTAATTTATTCCTGTGAAAAAAATCGAAAAAACAATGTGAAGTATTATTTTTAAAAAAAACATTCGGGCAACGTGTTTTTTCGATTTTTTTTTTTAAATTAAATGCACTTATGATATTACTTGTGTTAATATGATAATAAGAATATTTATATAAGGAAAATACATTTTAGTAGTATAGAATATACAATAATAATATTTCTGGCAAATAGGCCGGTATTTTTTAAATTAGTGATAAAACTACTGGAAAAAACACCGTTTTCATAGTTACACTGACAACTTGTGACACTCGAAATAAATGGAAAGATGCGGAAATTTCGACTTCTCAGGGTTCAATAATTGAGCTACCATTTAGCGAATTAGGTCTCTGTCACCTAGCCTATTCCCGTAAATGCATATGGTGACCGTGTTAATTTACGTTCATAAAGTTTTTCTGACTAAAAAATGGCCCTCATATATTATGAATTCGTCATGTCAAATGCAAATCATCTACAAACAACAAATATACCGATTGCCATTCCACGGCTTATCGTACAAGCTTTAAAAAAAAGATAAAACGCCATATATCGGAACCACTACTTGTTTTACCTTCCTCAACAGATATTGGGAGGCTTTTATTATCCCCAACCACTACAAGATGAAGATTTTTCATACTTACACCTTACTTCTTTCTAAAGTAGGGCACCCAGTCTCTCCTTGAAGTCTAGAAAATGAGATACTAGAGAGGAAGGTAAAATTAGACGTAGTCTCCGAAGTATAACAGATTTATCGCATAAATTGGGGATCTGGCACAGCTGCAAATACGTACTCTCTTGCCAAATTTGAGCTAGACACTTAATCATCGCAAATCCGCTTCAATGTTTTGTCCATTGTTCTTTTTGCGAATTTTACAGCAAACAGCAATCGTTGATTTATAGCTTTGTTTTGACGAATTTTTAAGTTCCCAACCACCTTTATACCTACAACTTTCATCCTCAGGTCATGTGATATTCATCGTCCCATAAAACAAATTGCTAATGATGCCAATTTTCCTGTCAGCCTTCGTAGAACAGATAACACAAACAAACTGGTAATGATGCCAGTTTCGGTGGCATTCTTTAGTTGCTCTTTTCGAATGACATACAACTGAGGAGTGAAGTTGATACTAACGAAATTAAATCAATATTTATTATTGAAAAGTGTATAGGAAGAGACCCACAAAACTGTTCTACGTCACAAAGCAGCAAAAATTTGTTGAGTAACAATGCCTAAAACCAGTGTAATATGTATCTTCAGTACATTGGGGCCGTTCAAGTATTACGTAAGCAGATTTATTACAGTTATTTACCCCTCCCCCCCCATCCCCCTTGTCAACAAAAGTAAGCAAAGCTCTTACCCCCTCCACCCTCCACGTAAACATTTGTCAATTAATGTATTGTTTTTTTTAATATTATAATTATAACGTTATAATTATAATTTGAAAAAAATAAGAAAATAGATTTAGTAATCAACATAGAGTAAAGGACAAAAATATTGTATCTTACTAACATAACAAAATTATTTTAAATTTTTGTTACACACAAGTTTTCGATGACATTGGATTGCTTCGATTACTGCTCAGTGTTGTGAGTTTGCTCGCTTTCATCGGATTTTGGAATGTCTACGTCGTTCTTATCGAGCCATTCAACACCATGGTGCTCTAAATTTTGAATAATGCACATCAGTTCATTAGCACGACGAGCAGCTACTCTTACAGGTCTAACTTTCCTATCAGTGTATGTGTTTACTTTTTTATGGATATTTTCGATGTGACGATTCAGTGACTTGACGGAAGCATGATAAAGACCACACGTTTTGCATGTTCGACTTGATAGTCTCAATTTTACAGTCGGACAGAAATAATCGTAGGGCATTTGCAAGAAATCTAAAGCTAAATTGACTGGAAGATTAAGAAATTGTCCTCCTTCATCCAAAACCAAGTCATCAACTGTTTGTTTTACTTTTACAGGTGGAAGAAACCTATTGTCTAGTAATCTAAATAGGCCATTTCTTGGACGACAGCATTCTGTATTTCTACATTTTACAATTTGAAGCAAGTATTGGCTCTCACGCACATGTTCTGAATACCATTTAATGTCTGCAAAATCAGGAAGATCTTGTTCACCTGCCCCAACATATTTTTCATTAACATTATAGCGATCAATTTCCATTGAACTCCATACTTCAGCTAATACATTTCCTGCAAATTCGAAATTAGATCTTTCTAAATGTTCATGAATTGTAACGCCACGTTCATCCAAATGAGACCCAAAATGGTCATGAGGCAATATTAAATCAGCCAGTTCGCGACTAAGAGGAGCCATTCTGCGCTCTACTCTGTTATACGCACTTCTTCCAGGAGCATTGGTAGCTAAAAACAATGCATCGAGATCATGGCGCTTAAAGGTATGACTTTTCCGTCCATGGTCAGTTTTAGCTAATGGTCGAAACTCTTCAAGTTCGAGAAGCGTCTCGAAATCCTGAGCATGAGTATTAGCAGTAGATGAACTATGCTTTCCACTTCGAATAGCGATGTACGTTGGTCCAGAATATCCAACGGCTTGCGATTGTCCTAGCATATTGGAAGTGATTTTGATACCAGCATAAACAGATGGTATTAATTTATGACTCTCAGCGATTACCCAATTGTGATCAGGTATGTCCCACTGCGACTAATGTCAAATCCTATTTTACGTAATTCTTGTGTGAGTTCATCAAGAGTTTTTACGCTGCAAATTGATTCCGTTCGTCTTCTATCATCTGCTGCACTCCCAAATAAAGCTATATCCGCGATTGCTTTCAATAGTAAATGTTGATTGCTTTCAAGATTAGGACGGCCCACTGAATCCCTCAGAGATAGTCTTTTTTTATTTCTGGATTTTCATGAAAAATATCTTCTAACTTTCTTTTTATACCATCCCTGTGTTTCTTCTGGGCAACTCCGTTTTGAACCTTCCTCTTTAATGACTGTTTTGGTGTTTTTATTTCCTTAATTATCTGTTTATCAACTTTAGCACGGCTTGGCATAGTATCTCTGGCAGAATACAAAGCATTCAGATTTTTTTTGAGTAGAGCAATCTTATTTCTCATAGCTTCCTGAGAAGGTTTTGCTCTCTGTTTATCTGTATTTTCATCAATTTCGCATTGCTGTTGTGATTCATTACCGGGTTTTATTTTATCTTCTTCCTCTTTTTTAATATTTGAAGCTGACTGAATAATTTGTGTTTTTTCTGCAGGTTTACAGGTTGCCTAAAAATAAAAACTTTCTGTGGCTTCTGCTAAAGATTCTATTATTAAGCTACATAAATACAAAGTATGGCAATATATATGGTAATACAAAACCCTATGGCTTTAAATCTAATATGTTTAAACGAGCAATTCGTTCCGGTCACAAAATACAGGGTGTTAGTTTTCTGTATATATGTATAAAACCAACATCCTGTACTTTGTGACCAATTGACGGAATCAATCATAGGAAATTAATCTATAATATATAATGAATATTACCTCTATACTTTGAGATAGGCCATAATATTTTCTAATCAGTAAAGAGAAACATTTTGGCGATTTCTAATATTTCTAGTACTCATAGGTACCTAAAATGAGTTCGTCACTCACCTTAGAAAAAAAATTTAGTAGATTGGATTTATTCTTAGTCGCCGCTTGCAATTCTTCTTCGATTCTCTTAGATACAATAATATCTAGTTCCTTGTCGGATTTTGCTTGTAATTTGTAATTTCGCGACACTTAGTTAAGTAACTTTTGTACATTTTGTACTTTCGTACTTGTATAAGATTTTTTAAAACTTTCAAACAATTTTCGGTATAACTTGGATTTGTCTATGTGAAACGATATCTTATTTAAACATTAAACTTTGGCTAATGGAATCAATGGTAACACAAATGTTAACTTGCTCTAATATGCTTACAATACGTCTACTCGCTATAGTATCCAAAAACAAAACAATACACTGATAGAGGAAATTTAGACAAGTGAACAGCGCGCGGTAATTCCCCTACTCGCTTTAGAACCGAGTAGGGGAATTACCGCGCGCTGTTCACTAAACGTATGCATTATTTGCGGGAATCCCCGAAAATGCGTTTCGTATTCAAGCAAAGACAATGTGAGGGTTGCCATTCGTGTAAAAAAGTAAATAACTAATAAGCAAAGCAAAGACCGTAGTGCTCACGTAATACTTGAACGGCCCCATTAATACTAAAAAATAAGATGATTATTAACAAAAAATATTCCACAAACGATATTTTGTATCTGGCCTGGTCCATGGTTAACTTATCTACTAAATCAAAGAAACTGTTTGTCCAAATACTCCATGGACAGGACATTCATACCAGCCCATATCGATTTCTTACATGACAATGCTTCCAGAGATTTGAAATTTTTATCACGTCTGAGAAACAACCAAAATAGTACGATCAATATAATGAGACTTTTTCAAGCTCCCAGAGCTGCCAGTAATCACTGATATTCTGAGAGATAAAGTGTAGGGCACTGAATAGCGTTTGTAAGTACGTTAAAAGTGTGCATGCCTGCCAAGTTGGGTAGAGGACCGGTTCACTAGTGCCAGGTGACAAAGGTTAACAAAATAAGACTAAAATAACTTAAATTCTGATGACTGATCTTTAAATTCATATTCGAACCTCACCATTGGAATCTCAGTAAGAGATACAAATTAAGTTAGTACAGAGTTGCATGTTTAGGTCACCAACGTAATGCCGCTTAGAATGTTTCTAAATTCAAAGCACTTGCGGAGAGAGATGGAAAAAACAGAATTTCCCAAAATCGTTTTAATTTCTTCCTGACTTTATTTCTAGTGGGATTTCAAAATTAAATTGCATATTGGCATTGTCACTTATTCTCGTTTACAAGATGACTTCACTAGAATTTCAATATGACGTTTCGTCTCTTGTCCTCCAGCATCAGCTTTATTTTTTCTTAAGGATACCATACTGGATTTTTGCAAAGCTGGAAAGAGTTCTTAATACTGATTCCAAAAATGTATAATATGTCTTACAGTCTGAGTACGAAATTCTTGGCAGTGACTCATGGCTGTTATCAATTTGTATGTTTCAAACAAAAGACGTATCTTTTATATCGATTTCATTGTTTTAAATTGGTAATTTATGTGTATGCAAATCTACTGATTTCAATTTTTATAGAGTCCTGAAGAAGGAAATAAATTATTCCGAAACATAGACAGCTATGTAATAGAAAACTGTGTTTCTTTGGATCCCAAATCCACTTCAGTACAAAAAACTATTTAAATTAGGTTTTAAAAAACTGACAATTCAAACGTTTGATCCTATTATAGTGATTAGCAATGTCTGGGAAAATAATTGTTATACAATTCTTTAGTGATTGTCTGTTAGAATCAGCGGGGTAATTAAAGCACGATTATAATGAGTTACATTATACCCTGTATACCCCGAAAAAAGTGTGCAATATTCTACCAGCGGTTTCTAGAGCTTAAAATAGGAAGAAAAGTTTATATACATAGGTCGACAAACGTCCCCTAAGGGCGCTACGGTCTTTTAAAGGGGCTCCCCTGAAGATGATTTTTCCTTAATATTTCCGAAACGTGTTGAGATAAAGACATAAAATTTGGTATTCTAGCCTAGTCTTTTATGCTGCATTTAAAAATATTAATAATTTTAGACAGTTTTGTTTGGAAGCGTATGTAACAGGGACGGACTCAGGTTATTTCAGCCCCAAAATTTTTGTGTGATTCTATTTTTGAAATTCAATTTTAGAATTTGAAAATTTAGGGTTTCTACATAAAAAAGGTATCGATAAATTGTGCCATTTTTGAATAAAATCAAACTAAAAAATTTGCCACATGATAGGAAATGTACTGCGAATTTAAATATTTAAATGAATGGTTGATTACCCAACTAGCAAAGTAGTGGTATAAGCTTTTGGTAAAAGAACCGTTCAGCCATAAAAGCTTTCTATTGTTGTTGCCTGAACACCAAAATGCTGGCTTAATGTTGTGTGGAATGCAAATTTGCTTTCTACAACGTATTTGCTCTAAAATGAGGTGTTTAAAATATTCTTATGGCATAGTTATACAACACCTTATAGGGCAAATTTTTAACTGGTGCATAAACGTTTATACAACTATTTTATACGGCATATTTGCAAGTTAGTCAAAATGGTTGTGTTGTGGCATGCATGGTAACGTTTATAAAACAAACCCGAGCCTTGTTGTTTTGCTGTGCAATTTACCACCTTAGCCAACAAATTGCTCCCAACGGAAGCACTTATACAACTGTTGTTTAGTAACTGTTAAAGGCTGTACATATGCTATACAAAAAACAACTTCACCATAACCTAACTTTCTGCTGTCATATTTTTGTTAAAATGCCATAATCAATGATTTAAGACAAACAACGCATGCATATTGCTTCAAAAGGTTTTATCAACTGTTCAAACAGAAGATATAGATCTGGTACAAATTCTGGGTAAATCATTCGACTCTGTCGGTATTTCATTTCAGACATTTGTCAAATTGTTGTATAACACCTGCAGGCAACACCAAAATATTCTAATAACCTAAAGACAACATGGACGATGCCATGATTGTACACAACCACTCGCCATATTGGGCGAACATTTATTCCTCTATTTAATATTAAATAATTATGTTTCAGTTCGAAATTACAGATATAAAATGATAAACATTAGTGTAATTGTGTCTAAATATAGGATTTGTGGAAGATTTAACGCAGATAAGTTCAGTTTTCCATCTTAAAAATCTAGACATACTTTTGATCGTTGTCAAAATATGAATCAAATACGAAGCCCGTAGAAATTGGGTAACTAATTTGCACGATAATGACAATAAAATTTGCTGCGCAAGTAATTCAATAGCCCTATATCAAAGTGTAGAAGTTTATCATATACCTGTGTATGAAATTCACAATGGCCGATATGTAAGTAAACAAGATGACTTTAATGTGTTAGTTATATATTATTCACTTCGTCTATACAATACATAAGAAATAGTTTGCAATAAAGTAGAATCACGAAACAAAATAGTTGTATAGTTGACAAAAACTGAATCTTGCACTGACGCAAATGTCCTATAGCGGCTGCAAGAGGCTTACACTTTTGATGTATAACTGTCACCTGCAGCCCTTATACAACCTCTTAAATGACTGAAGTGTCCTATTAGGTGTGCCCATTCCGCTTGTATAGCTGTTCTAAGAAGGTTTTGCCAATGTTCTTACAGTATACAATGCTGTTTAAGGAATACTGATGTATAATCATTCTTGCAACTCTAATAGGAGTGATAATTGTTAGTTGAGTATACATAGTTAGCCATGACTGCAAACAAAAGTTGTTTTGATTTGTTATGACTTATTTTGACGTTAAGCTGACATTGCCAGTAGTGTAAAATTACTAGATTAAAATCAAAATTTTTATTAAATCGATTTAAAATGCCAAGATTTACAGACAGAGAACTGACTGACATGGATTTTATGTACGGGTTTTGCGATGGCAGTTAATTGGCAGCCGTAAGAGAATATCAAAGAAGATTTCCCAATCGCATAGTACCTGGACGTCGAATGTTTACTGATATTCACCGGAATTTGTCAAACCATGGAAGTTTTCATCGCATGCAGGGCTCAGGAAGGCCACTGGGAAATCATCGAATGGATATTGCTTTAAATATGTTTGAAAATAATCCGCAAATAAGCATACGAAATGTTTCAGAAAATATGGATATACCTCGATCAATAGTAAGAAAATTTTATGAATACCTATTTGATAGTTATCCTAAAAATAATAATTTTAGATAGGAAGAATGACAAGAATGCAAGGATTACATCCTTATCATTTTAATCGGGCGCACCAATTAACGGAGGCAGATTTTTTACCACGAATCGAGTTTTGCCAGTGGATATTAGCAAATGAAAACACTATTGCTAGAATATTATGGTCGGATGAGTCAATATTTACTAGGAATGGTGCTTTTAATTTCGATAACATGCATCACTGGACAGATGAAAATCCAAAAGTTGTTCGCCGTACAAATTTCCAACATAGATTTTCATTGAACTTATGGGCAGGAGTAATTGGCGATCAGGTAATTGGGCCTATTGTACTTCCCAATCGTCTCAATTCAGAGGTGTATCTGAACTTTCTTCAGAATGAGCTCATGGATATAATACCATTGGATGTGCGCCAGCAGTTTCAAGAAAATATGTTTTTTCAACATGATGGCGCCCCTGCACATTTTGGACGCAATGTTCGAAATTGGTTGAATGTCTTTATCTCAACACGTTTCGGAAATATTAAGGAAAAACCATCTTCAGGGGAGCCCCTTTAAAAGACCGTAGCTCCCTTAGGGGACGTTTGTCGACCTATATTTATATAAACTTTTCTTCTTATTTTAAGCTCTAGAAACCGCTGGTCGAATATTGCCCACTTTTTTCGGAACACCCTGTATATGTGCATAAGTGCAAAGTTGGGTTTTTCCTTTACACGACGTGTGGATCTTGAGAAAATAAGCGGATTTTCTCAGTAGTATATACACCAATATCGAGAGAATCGAGATATTGGGCTCCGCAAACTGAATCAAACCTGAACCAAACCGGATCCGGTCCTGCCCTATCCCTCAATCAGGTCCACAGCGACAGCGTATAGTTATACTACGATGTACGGCTACGATATAAATACGGATTTTACGACAGAGTCGTACTTGGAATTTCAATCCAACTGAACAGTGAGTACTTTTTCATTTATTTTTTCAATTGTTCGCTCACGTTTCACCACACATTAGCTTTGTTATACCAAGCGTAGTTGTGTCTGAAAAGGAAAACCCCAACTTTGCGGACCCCCTGTATGTGCTTGGAGGAGGAAAACTGATTTTTTGAGAAAATATGAATTAGAAAATATACAGAAGTCAATACACAACCTCTTAGCGTTATTCCAATAAAAACATCCATTATGATATATACTATATTCCCAAATCATTATCAAAGGATATTCTCATGGATTACAGTTCCACTGTGCTGGCACGAAACCAAAGATTCAGATGACCAAAAGGAACAGTGCTTTTAGTCCTGTAGAAAATCCATCCTTCAAGGGCCAGTCGACGACTTGCCATACCTTTGGCATAGTGTTACCTTCATTCAATCACATTTCGTTAAAATAATATATCTTTTTATTTTCGCCTCTGTACTTTCGCATTTTCGCTAAGTACTTACTCCGTCACAATTTCTTCTTTTTAAATCAGAGATGACTTCTTCGTCCGCTTTAAGTACCTAAAGTTCAACTCATGAGTCGTTCTTTTTAAAACACTCATAGATGCTTCCGGAGTACTGCCGTCCTTTTCAGTTTTAGCTGCCATTGTCATGTGGTAGGCATAAAAAAAAATATGTCTGCAAACAGCATATTTGGTATCCTTATCTAGAACGATTTTCTTCTTTCCCCTCGTACCACTACTAGTCATCGGATGTTCTTCTCTGTCTGTTGAAGCTTTTGTATTGATTATCCGAAATGTTGTTCTTTCGGAGACTTTTGTTAAGATGCTACAAAGTAAAACAGCGTCATGAACACCTAAGTCCGTCGTATACGTCGTGTGTCTCTCTCCCCAGTAGAAAGGGTTCTATGGGTTTTTTTGTGTCATACTTTCACTTTGCCCTCAATCACTATATTATAATCGTGTTAGAGCTATTCTCTTTAGGCTACGCCGTTGGAATGATCGGAGGGTTGTCATGTTAACAGTGCGGTAAGGGGTGTATAGATATGCACTAGTCGAGATCATCGTCTGCCCGACTCCTGACATGGTTGTCATGTTGTTATTATAGTCGGTAATTCCATCTTCGCAACTACCTAACTGATTTACGAATTCCTTCTCTGTGGTCAGTCAGAGTACACATTTTACATTGTGTCTTATTCATCGGCCTAGTACTGTTTGTCCATCTGAGTATACGTTTCTTAGATCATACTAGTTTTAGATCAAATAGTTTTTTAAATGCATAGGTAAATTAATTTTTGAAATTTGGCAACTGCGGTTTCTCAGCTGCATAGATGAGTCACTGTCAAGAATTTCGTACTCAGTCTGAAGTTATTAAAAAACAGAATTTCCTAGGTAGGCTTTGAAATTATCAGAAAGTCATTTTTTTCATATAACAGATTTAGCGTCAAATCATTTTTATTTTTTCCTGACTTTATTGGAGATGAGATTTCAAAATAAATTGCATGTTGTCATTGCCACTTTTTATTGTCTACAAGACGGCGCAGTCAAATTTTCAAATCGTCGTATTTCCTTTGGACTTCCATCGCCAACTTTGTTTTTTCATTTCCTTCCATACCTAAGTTGGCTATGAATTTGTTCTTTGAACGAAAATTAGGGAATGAAAATGTGTGCTCAATTTATGCACAGGGAGCGTATGACAGTTTTGAAGACCTCAAGTTGAACATAGTAGGCAGAGTTTGGAAGACCGAGAAGAAGAGAAATAAACCGAGCAGTGAACAATGTATAGAGTATAGTCGGGATTTGCCTACAAAATAACGAACACACTTTTGAACATCTGCTTTGATTTATTTCTGATTATATATGACTATTGGCATTACTATCAATAAATTTTTCATTTCGTGTTCAGGTTTCATCATACCTTTTTTATTTCCTTAGAATTTTCATTCCAACAAGAAATCCATGGCCAACCATCAAAATCCAGCATTAATGGTAGTTTGACCTTGAGGGATCACTCAAAGTTAGAAACAAGGTCAAATCCAAGGTTACTGACCGATATTTGCAGGAAAAACACACAACTTTTGTTTGAAGCAGTTCTCTCTAAAATGTATCCCAAAGAGTTGGAAAGATGTTCCAGTACTTTCGTCACACCCTGCATAAACTTTATTCAATATCCCACTTTTATCCTTTTAGAACATAAGTAAAATTTGGCAGCCGTGGGATCTTACTTTGAAACCGTTCAAGTTTTGTATTATTTGTGTGAGAAAAGCGTCTTGATGGCATTACTATGTCATTTTTTGCTGTCAAATGTCTGAGCTTTTTCAAACGAAACAGGTGAAACACTCAGATATAAAATAGAAGAGCATCTTATTTTTTGGTGAAACTAAAGCAACCCGTGTAGAGCTAGTAATGAATACTGGTACGTGATTGGGTACTAACACTGTAATTTTTGCCCTATGCGGTAGTGGCGACATTCAGGAAAGGCGTCCGAGCTATTCAATTGGTCGGCCGAGCAAGTACGTATTACGATCTCGTTATCACAGCGTTTTTATTGGTCTGTCTATCCACCAAACACATATCACAGTTAACCGTCGTCTCTCACTGACACAGTCCAAATTGTTATTCTCTGTCTTAGTCAGTCACTTCTCTTATGCCATGTAAATACCGATGATTCAGATACCTTTGGAAAGGAACGTTACTCGTTGAATGTGAATGAGTAGTGCCATTGTTTAACGTATTCTATCTGAAAGAGAGTACATTTTTAAAGATCACATAGCCCGATTACAGTGGGTGAAAAGAATGAGGATTTAATTGTGCTGTCCAGGCGAATCTAAACACGTCAAAAACATCTTTTCGTGAAATAGACATTTCAATGTTGAGGTTTGCGTTTAAAATCCTCTATTTTGAGACACTTCATAAGTCAAAATCCATGGAGCCATTTGAGCGATAGCCCGTTTAAATAGGAATTACATAGTTGAATTTTCTTATTAAAATCTTATTGTTTCTATAAAATTTCAATGTAGCCGGTGTAATGTCTTTCGCACTACCAAGTCGGATCCAACTACGCCTCCATCGAGCCGTTTCGCCTGGACACAGATAAATACGAGTATTTTACATACATACGTGCGCAAAACGTCCTTCTGAGGCAGGCGGGTTAATAACCAAGCATATACTGTATTCCATTGCGCGAAAAGGGATCTGAAAGATCGTAGCACCATCATATTCTAACCAGCCACCAAGCGGTTTGCCCCAATGACGTCGGGAAGGCCCCTATCCGCACTTCGATCAGACACCTGTCATTTGGGAAAATCAACTTAGGTCCAAGATTCTATTGCATGTATATCGTAGAATTATGCTACTCTAGCAGCCCACAAAGCAGCGTTGCCGAGTGCGCCCCAGAACATTGTTTTTCAGCCCCTAGGGCACTTAACGCGGTGTATATACGAAAAAATCATAATTTTTCAAAATGGAGTTAGGTCCAGGATAGCAGAATACAAAAATCACAGGATTCTGATGACTCTTGCATAAATTTTTAGGGGTAAAAAATTAGGGGGTGGGAGATTGTAGGTAAGTGGGGAAGAGTATATCTTAAATTTTTCACGTTAGTATACGGCTTCAACGAAAATGAAAAGTAGTTTTATAAGGAACCTGGTAGATACATCTATATCAAAAAACGTAACAACCTTGATATTTATATTTTTTAAACAGCCTATATTTCAAAACCGCATTTTTTTTTAAATTTAGTCATCATGGGGCATTCCACCGATGCGCAGTGTGCGTTCTATGTTAAGGCTTAATATAAAAATGCACTGTTGCGCGGCGTATGTTTTGATCTGAGTTTAGTTTACATGATCGAAATCAATGTCCTAGTGAAAGTGTCATCAGATCGTGGGTCAGAAAGTTCGAGTCTACCGGTTCGACTCTGAATCAGAAACCTGCGGAGCGTCCAAGGTCAATACGAAAAAAAAAACTGTAAGCAAAGTCGCGACGTCCATATGGCGTGATCCACCATTCACAGTTATCATCCTGAAAAGCTGAGCTCGCTATATTAACAACATATTTGAGGCGTATTTTGGTAAAAGACCTTAAATTGCACCCATATAAACACCATTGTTATGTTAGATCGCCTTCCAAATTTGAACAACATTCTTTTTTCTGATGAAGCTCATTTTCATTTTGGTGGGTTTGTAAACTGAGTCGCAGAAAATTCCAAATTAAATCACCAACGACCTTTGCATTTGCGTTACGTTAAGCCATATACAGATATGTAACAACATCGCGAACCGAAACGCGACGAACCGCAGCGCGCGCATTTTGACGATCAACATTGCAACGAACATCACCACAAACCGAACGAAGTCGTGCAACGACATCGGGCAACAAAATGACGACCCAATTTTGATGTATGTCGTTCAGTGAAAGACCAATACTAGCGGAAATGGATATAGCAGTAGCAGCAGCTGCCTATGTTAATATGCACTACTAAGTAATTATCTAAAAACAAGCGACGACGACGTCCGAGACGATGGTCGCAAACGCAGTTATATACCAATAGATCAGCACACGGTTGCAACAATTTGATAGCGGAATTGAAATTTCAACAAGTATGTGAACAGTACAAAAATTTTACGTTGTCTCCGACGGACTTTGAATATCTTCTCACGTTGATTACGAGATATAAAATGAAGAGCTGCCATGACAGTGCAAGAAAGACTTGCAGTCACAGTGCGATTTTTAGCGACTGGTGATTCATATATAGTGGTTTTCAATACACGTTTCGGATTTCAAGGCAAGCTACATCATTGCAGCAGTTTTTGTGGCATTGATCGAAGTTTTAAAGGAAAATATGCAAGTAAGAAAAATAATGATTTTACTTCTAAGTACTCGTACATTACAAAATAACACATTGGTGCTCGCCGCACCGGTATGCCTGTCTAAGCATGTGCAACTTCGTCGCGAGCCATTCCTTTGATGTTGCGCTGGAAAACCGACAGAATCTGGATCGGGCCGAACGGCGAGCTGTAACGCCAATCAGGTTCGCGACGGCGTTCTTTTCACCGTCTACAGTATATTCAGATAAGAGATAGACCGGATGTAAACAAAAGGTTCGGGTGATTTTCACACTAACGCCGCCGTCTCGACGTAAAACAGGAGCCCTCATTGGTCAATTCGCAATTAAATGCCTATGCCGAGCGGCAGAGCAGTCGTATCAAGGCAGAGTCACATTCAGGTTCAGACGTGTTACGTATGTCGTATGCATCATTGCAATTTGATATTTCTTTGGACGTTTTCGTTTGTTATCTTATTACGTTGTTGAGTTTGTCGTTGTTATTGTTATACCTTGTTATTGATTGTTATTGTTATCAACTGCTTGCGCAAAATGCCCAGTAGTACAGATACTGCCGATGAAGTTGTAAACTCCTGTAGTCCACCTAGGAAACGCTCTAAAAAAAGACACCTGAGTGCAGAAATGAAAGAGGTCATTTTGAATATATATAAGATCGAGCGCGAGGAGAACGAGGCATCAACCATCAAAGAAATTGTTGTGAAGGTTTCTCACAAAGTTGGGGTGTGTCGCGCATCAGTGTTTAATGTGTTAAGACAATACAAAAAAAATCACACCTTTTCTGAGCCAATGACCAGTAAACATCGCAAAAGTATTGTTAAATCATTGGATGAAGTTGATAAGCATACGATTAGGAGGAAAGTGCATGAATTCTTCTTTAGGAATGAAATACCTACTATAGATAAAGTACTGCAGGAGGTAAATGGAGATACAACGTTGCCAAATTTCAAACGATCAACTTTCCATGCGTTACTGAAGCATTTAAA